TTAGTCTTGGGCATAAATTTGGCATCGCCTTGAGCCTTCCTTTGAAGTCCTCACCAGTTTCCTCTCTGGAGCGCCCTCACATTTCGAGAACTTTGTGACTTTTCCCAACCCCAAAAGCAAAAGACTTTATCTACAAGACGGGGGAATGGATTAAAATGTTCCTTTTTTAAAAAGTACTCTCTCTCTCTCTGTTTTTTGGATTACGAATCCCCCGAGGATTTTTGCAGCTGTAATAAAATAAAACCCAAACTTTTTCAAATTCTGAAAACTTGGGGCAGAAAAAGCCTCACTCCAAGCAAATAGGGTATACATTTCCTCCTACTGGGCCAGCCTCATAGGGCGTGCCGGCCCCTCCCTCCCTCCCTCTTACCTGTGGTCAGGTGTCTCCGTTATAAATCCTTACCTAGCTGAGCTGGCTGGCAGTCCTCGATCTGCGGAGTTCAGCGTACCTACCTGGGGAGATTACCGAGGCCAAGAGAAGGCATTTGGGCCACCAGCCCGCCTGGGATCTTAGCCATGGACCCAAAGAAGCACCTCATTCTTCTCCTCCTGGGCTTGATCCTGCTGGTGTCGGCCACGGGTCAAGGTATGGCCAATTTTGCTTGGGGTCTGCTGGGAGTTACATGGGTGCTGAGGGGCGTGAAACTAGCTGTAAAAGTTTCACAGGGCGAGAAAGCCCTACTGGAGCGAAGGTTCGTGGCGCCGGCCCGGCTGGGAGGAAGAACAAGATGACTGGCTCAAGCGGCAGACTCTCAGAGAGGGGCATAGACCATCATCATCTCCCCTTGTGGGAAATTAAGAGCAGGCGTTTCTTACACCCCTGAAACTGGGCTGGTCTCCTCAGGGTGACACATCGATGTTTCTGATTATGGAACGGGAGAGCAGTCTCCACTTTGGCCTCAGGTGGCAAAATGTCTCGGGACGGCACTAGAGGAGAACGACATTTCGGGATTCAGACAGCCCAAAGGGGGCAAGACTAAGCATGCAACAGGGGTCTGCACCTCCCCGTCTCCACTTTCCATTTCCTTCTGGAAGAGGAAACCCACACGTTCCTGCAGAAGCTTCTGGACTACAAATCCCATAACCCACCCACCCACCTGGCAGGGCCGTGGGTTGAGCTAATGGGGTTTGTAGTCCAGAGACCTCTGGAAGGCGACAGCTTCCCTGCGCCTTGGCTGGACCCCCGGCTTTGTTAATATTCAACCGCTATCTTGAACTCCCGGTTTGACAGAATCTGTGATATTTATTTGGATGGACCTGGGACACTATTTTTCAGCCAGTTTGGGGTTTACAGTATTTTGGGTATTAATTTTCCAAATAATAGCCCTTATCTCTTTTTCCCTCTCTTTTAAACCCCCCCCCACTTTTTACGAAGGTTCGTCCCCAACTTTGTTCTCTTCTGTTTGCCGTCAGTCCGCGGTTTAAGAAAACATGGTATAATTCTAAGAATCACATTTAAATCTATGTTTCAAATACTTCGCTTGAGACTCATATTCCATTTAAAAAAAATAAGCATTCGGGAATAGGTCTAAGTTCAGAATATGCATTTTTTCAACTGCACGTGAGATATTCAGATTTTTGCTTTTGCTTGGGAGATGTCGTTCAGATCAGGGACCAGGAAGGCTGAATTCTCTGCGCCCGGAAACATTTTTTGTCGAGACCACGAATCCCAGAATCCCCTAGCGAGCCATGCTGGGGATAATGGAAACTGTAGTCCCCAAACAAAAATGTTTTGTTGTTCTTATTGCCCTCGGGTGCTTTCTGACTCATGGGACCCTCTGAACGAGCGACTCCAGAAGGTTATCCCCAGAGCCCAGTTCTTACAAACTGTGGCTTCTTTTGTGGGCTGACTCCATCTCATGTTTGGTCTTCCTCATTCCCTGTTGCCTTTCCTCCTCTGTTAGCAACTTTCTTCTCTTCCCATGACGTGCCCAAAACACGAGAGTCTCCATTTAGGAATGTTTGCATGCCCAAGAAAAACTCAGCCTTGAGCTGATCTGGTACCCGTTTATTCCTCTTTCTGGCGGCCCGTGATCACCATAAAAACTACGATTCCAGGCACCAGGAAGGCCAGAAAGGGCTTTGAATGCCCTCCCACATCTGGAAGGCTGTGTCTCCACCTGAGTTAGCCTGAAGCAAATCGAGCAGCGGCCGAAAAAGCCATCAGATCGGGCACCGGATAAGCTGCAAATGCCCTACATCAAAAAAAGGTCTCTCGGGCCAAATTTCCCCACGCACGAATTTTCTTTCGTGCCTCGCTTTCATCTGGGTTCCCGAGCACGAGGCAAGGCGATAAGAAACCAGACTCTTTGGAGATGAAAGCAAGTCATTACCAGCCTGTGATGATTTCTCCCCCTTGGACGCACATTGAGTCTATATTTTGGAAACAGAAGTAATTCTATATGCTTGCAGAAAACACAGGCAGCTGGTCCCTGGGTCTGAGTCAATCTGTCAGTCTTTTGTGCTGTATATTATTTGTCTGGCCACTGGAGAAGCCACAGAACGGGGCCCCCATATTCTCTTTAAATCTTCCCTTTAAAAAGAGACTTCTCTTTCCTTTAAGAAAAGCCTTTGGCTGTGCGAAAAAGAAATCTTTTTTTAAAAAAAGCAGATCTTTGAAAGACTATGGGAGGCATCTGCTTCCCTGCTGAAGCTTCTCTAAAGTTTTGCTTTGTTTTCGGTTCCAACTGAACACAAATTGAAGATGATCAATGATTGGGGGGGGAGCCTTGGACGATAACTATGAAGTTTATAGGGAAAGGCCATCACACTAAAATCTGATCCCCCCCCCCCAGAACAAACCGAGACTGAAAATAAACCAGGGCTTCAGAAGGGAACCATCCCAACAAAAAAGTCACAGGGAATTTATGGTATGAAGCGGGACAAAGGGAAGGCTGTATGGATGGTTGGGTTAAAAATAAATAAATGCAGTGGTGCCTTGCTAGACGATGATAATCCATTCCACTAAAATCGCTGTTTAGCGAAATCATTGTCTAGCGAAAAGCATTTCCCCACTAGAATGCATTGAAATCTGTTTAATGCGTTTCAATGGGGAAGAATCATCGTTGTCTAGCGAAGATCGGCCATAGGAAAGCCGCTTTGCGAACCGCCGATCAGCTGTTTAAATCGCTGTCTTGCAAAGCTTAGGTCCCGAAAACAGCTGTTTGCGAGCGCAGAGGAAGCTGACAAAATCGTTGTCTAGCGAAAATTGGTTTGCGAAGCAGGGACCAAACATTGTCCAGCGAAATTCCCCTGTAGGAATCACTGCTTTGCGAATCGCTATAGCGATTGCAAAAAGCCAATGTATAGCGAAAAAAAATGTTATGCAGGGTGACTGTCTAGCAAGGCACCACTGTACTCAAGACCGAATCAGGTGCTCACTTTCGAAGACACCAAAATTTCCAGCCCTTGCGATTCAACTTCTGAATAAAGGGTTGATTGAAAACAGGGAAAAAGGAAGTTCTCTTGATACCTCTCGGTCAGCATTGTCCAGAGTGGAACGTGGAATTTATAGTCATGGGGTGGGGTTAACTCATGGAACGCTCTATGGTTCACGTCTTACCTATCTGCCCACCATCCTCCCAGAGTGTAGGACATGTAATAATGGTCTCATGTTACAGGAAGCCAGATTTTGGCTGAATAACAGGAAAAACTTCGTCATTGTTAGAGCAGTACGAAGATGGAACCAATGAGGAACCAACAGGAATTACACACACACATACTCAATTTTTTTATTGGATACAGATTCAATTAGCCTTGTGATTGATTGTCTAATGGGTCAAGCAAATCTGCACCTGGGGGTCTATTCAGGGTTATGGATTGTTCCAAGGGACCCCACTTAGGTTTGCTGGTTGTGTGCAAATGAGATCATTAACTGGGTAGAATCTTAGATGAGCCATTTCTCCTGACGGAATAGGAAGCAATGTCTACTCTCAGACAGCTCGTGGTTCTTTTAAAAATTATCCATATATTTAGGAGATTTGCAACCAAAAAGTATTGTCTGGATACATTATTAACAGTGATGTTCACAATTCTTCCAGATACCTCCAGCCCCGAAGGCGACACCCGCACTGCCAGCAACAATTTGGAGACAAATTCCTCCCCCCACACCGCCACCCCCACTGCCAACACCACCTCCATGGGGTTGACGGAGTCGGCCTCCCCCCACACAGCCACCCCCACTGTCCACG